TTTCTGGCGGCTGCAGACTTTCTCCTTGGTCCTGAAACGCCTTGGGCGTTGTCGGAGGGGTGTGTGGGAGCTGCACACTAGATGGCAAGGTGGGGCAAGCACAACAGAGAGCTGCACCCACACCACCCAACTTGTGTTTGTCACATCATCAAAGCTGTGATGGGACAAGGCTGTCCCCAGCCCATCCGCGCTCCTCCCATGCGTGTGTCTGCTTGTGGCAGGGCTGCATGCTGTCTCGAAACCGCCCCCGAAAGCCGCAGCCGAAAACTGTGCAAGCTGGGCAGCAGTCTGACCTGGGGTGCCAGGTGCTGCGCCTTGCAGATGTTGCCCAAAGCAGTGCATCACACGCGGTCACAACCCCACACCCACCCACACCCACAAGGATGCAACGTCCAGTGGAGGCTGCACAGTCAGGACACACGTGATGGGTGCTGCCGCTGACATCACCATGGCTCACTGATAGAGTTGGGCAGGCTGCTGGCACCAGCCGTCAACTCTTGGCTGACTGCTGGATTCACCCAAGGCAGTGCAGCACTTGAGTAGCAGCCTTGGCCTCACACCCACTGGGATGCAGCCAGGGTGAAAGCTGCACAGTCATGACACACGTGCCCAGTGCTGCTGCTGACGTCACCATGCCTCACCAAGAGAGTCAGGCAGGCTGCTGTATGGGGTTGCTTTCTCATCATAGGGCCCTTGATGGGACACGAAAAACAGCTGTGTCGTGCTGTGACCGCCGGACCTGGAAGCCGTAACCGTTTTAAACCTCTTTGAAATGGTTCACAATCCCGGTCAGGCTGGCTCAACCGTCGATATTCAAGCAGTCTAAAGGTGATTTTCGGGGGTGTGTTCCAATTGATGAGGGGGTAGAATTCAAGGTTGTGGGTTCAAGCTTCCGTGCTCAGGGTTCGGGGTTCAGGGTTCAGGGTTCGTTGTCCAGGGTTTGGGGCCCGAGGTTCGGGGTTCAGGGTTCAGGGTTCAAGGTCTGGGGTGCAGGGTCTCGGGTTCAAGGTCTAGAGTGCAGGGTATAGGGTTCAGGGTTCAAGGTCTGGGGAGCAGGGTTTAGGGTTCAAGGTCTAGAGTGCAGGGTATAGGGTTCAGGGTTTAGGGTTCAGGGTTCAGGGTTCAGGGCTTAAGGTTGTGGGTTTAGGG